GTGGGGGGCCAGCAACTGTGACATCTGGGTCGAGCTCCCGCAACCAAGTCCAGTCCAAGTTGGGGTGAGTACCGGGCGACAACCCGAGGTTGATCCATCCCATTTCATTTCCTAGTTGCGGTTGAGCTCGTCCAGACCAGGAAGGCCCCGCATTTCATATTACCGATTACCTTGTAACCCCGGTTAGAGTAGCCCCGGGTGGGAAGTATTGATTTAAGAGCTATTGTGTGATAGGAGGTATTTGATTGTGTTAGTTTCCCTCAGTACTTGCGGGTGGTGCACGTGATCCAAAGCCGACCGGGATTGACCAGTATCCCGAAGTCCGGCTGGAGTTGACTGGAATAGTGACCGACCCTTTCACGGTCCAAAAGAATAAGGAAGGGCTACATGTTTGTATATAACTCTGTATCTGTTTGTATTGTTTGGTTATCTGAGGGCTGTCAGAGGCGACGTCCAGGAAGGTTACGTTCTGCCCTGCTACCTAACGACCTACAAGTATCAAGACAACTCATCCACGGTTGAAGACCCCTGGTTACGAAGACAAACGAACCCACAGGGATTGTTCACAAGGACACACGCCACCCCGGTTAGAGTGTACATCTAGGTGTACTATCTCCGGCTAGGGTTTGTTCTGGGTGCACCCCATTCGGGAGTCTACACCCGGGATATAAGGGGCCTACCTTGGCTCACTACTACGGGTTACACGTATGCGCACGTGTATGAGGAAGCGTAGGTTTCTTTTACTTGAGTTAAGTATACTCGAGATCCACGAGTATACTTTAAACAAGATAAAGACTCCAAGTAGCGTGTTTTGGTAAAAGATGAGAACTGCTATTTTGTTTTATGTTTCTGACTTCCTCTAAATCTAATATTCTAAACTAGGAATCTGCCAACGGCTGGTTGGCAGGATTCTGCTAACATGCAAGTCACTCATTGGCTAAAAGATGCTGCTTTCAGCCAATAGGAATCCTAAATGTGTATGGACCACCCGTCGTGGTGGTCGTAAATGTATGTAGCCATTGGTGTACCTTACACCAAGGTCGAGGAAGTGTTCAAACCTCTAGCAGACATCGCATCTGTTAGCGTAACAAGTGACTGTAGCCACTTGTGCGTGTAACCCCGTTACACGGGACGCGCCCAGCTATACACCTGGGCGGTCAGGCGTTCACCCGCCTCGCCTCAGGAGTCGCTCTCGGAGAGACGTTCGTAGAGAGAGCTCCTGTGGCGTACGGGCCGCGGGCCCAATGGCGTGCGCTGCGAGCGACTGCAGGAACGCCTGGCGACACGCCTCAGCGGGATCGCGAGGCCGGAAGCCGTAGTCGGTAGCGCTGGGGTTCAGCAAGGGCCGCAGCTCCGGGCGCTGGGAGCGCATGGGCGCCATTTGCACCGCGACCTGCTCGGACTAAGCTTCGTCCAAGGGGTTGGAGATGACGGGACCCAGGGGCACGCCTTCACCACGAGGTGGTGAATACCTTGGCTCAGTGAGCGCGCGCAGCTCGTGGAGACCAGACGAGCGTTCGGGGAACGGATTCGGAGTTCGCAGCGGTGGCCGCGGCTCCTCCCTCAATGGCGCAGCGCGCTCAGTGGCGAGGCGGCTCGGAGAGCGCACAGGAGAAGTGCGCGTGGGGCGCTCAGGCTCGCGACGGCTCGGAGAACCAACTGGGGTCGATCCTTTTGCACAGCGTGTTGATGGCGTGGGCGAAGAGGCGCCGCGGTTCGGGGAGCGACGCGCAGCATCATCTTGGTTCGGAGAACCCGTCACGGACTCGGTGTCGAACACCTCTCCCTCGTCACCAAAGAATTCGCTGAGGTCCATGGTATGGCGGGCTGATGCTCGAGGGGAGCTAGGGCTTGCGCGTTGCGGGCAGTGCTTGAGGCGGCGCGCCGCGAAGTACTCGGACACCGAGAGCCTGGAAGGCGTCGTGGGTGTGCGCGTGGGCGCTGGCGTTCGCGGACGTTCAGGGGCACAAGAGGAGCGAGGCTCCGAGGCAGATCTCGCGAGAGGCTGTCTGTGGTCGAAAGACCAGAAGGCTTTATGACTGTGAGTCATGCATGGGCGCGTTGCGCCGAAAAGTTCTCAGAGACGTCCACGCGATGTGGATTGACTCGTTCGAGAAGGAGGCTTGACGGAACAAGACCCGGCGGTTGACCGTTAAGCGTGAACACCCGCGTCCACGGTTTGGTGGGGGAGGGTGTAACGGGGTTACACGAGAGTTACCCGAAGGGTTACGAAGTGGGTATACACTGTCTAACCTAAATCAGTAGAAGAATCAGTACATGGCTTCACAGCCACTGATTATGCATATGACCAGTGTTCACTATGCTAGATAGTGAACCGGATACATTTACACCGTAGGCGGCTTTGCCGCAATAAAGGGAAATACATTCAGTTTGAGATTCACACAGTTAAGAGTTAAGGGTTGACTCTTGGAGTCCGTAAGGTGTACGAACTCGTACGTTCTGGTATTAGAACGGGCCATCTTAAGCTGAGCCTCTGTGAGTCTGTTACGTCTTCCTCTGACGCTAAGCTACGGCAGCCCCGCTGCATGTACTAATGGTCTTCACTGTAGGGGAGTTACCAACGCATCGTTGGGCTTATAACCACTTGTAACTTGGCTGCGTTTGCGTGCGTCTGTAACTCACACCGCACAACGAAGGAGGAAGAGAAGGTGAACGCACTGCGGGGGAGTAAAGCGACTTGCTGCTCCTGTTGTATTTTTCGTGTTTTTTGTGGTTTCCCCCTCTTTACTTTTCTCTCTCCTTTCCCAGCTCCTGAGCCTTTTGTGTATCTGCACTTCAACTTACTGTACAGCAAAAGCTACACTGCAACACTAGCAACAGGTGAGGACCAGTAATTCAGAACAGTCGTAAGCGATTGTAATAGCTAAGTGACAACAATGATACTCAATTCAAAACCAAAAAAAAACAAAAAGATGCTGCTGCCATGGCCCAGTGTCGACGTATTCTGGCATCGGGATGCCACCGAAGAGGAAGAACCCTCTCTTGTCAGGACGCACAGCCGAAGCATGACCCATGTAGCTCTTGATCCCAGCTGTGGAAACCTGAACTTCGCGGATATGACCACGGAGAGGCTCCAGAATGACCATCGACGATGAACTCAG